GCGGGGTCCGTCACAGAATCTCTTCCTGACTGTTCGTCTGTAAAGACTCAGGGAGTTTGCTCTTATTTTGTATTACACCGCTTCCTCTCTGACTGACAGAGGCTGTAAATAAACCATTTGAAAGTGCTTTACAAAACAGTGCTTCCCGAGACTCTCTTCAGACTCTGTGTTTTAAACTGGAAGAAAACCAGAAGAAATATGCATGCAGAGAGAGAGAGTGTACCGACATATTTTACAGACAAATTTGTACCCAGAAATGAGTTAAACCTCACAAAAAAACCTTTTTGGGACGTCCTTATTTGTAAACACATTATAAAAATGAACTTAATAAAGTGTTTTTAAAGTTGTAGTAATGCAGTCAGTTTTCTGTTAGGGTTAGTGTTTATAACTAGCTGTATATAAAAACAGTGGAGGTCTATGCAGTGTTCCTGAGCAAAGTAAATGTGTGTGCGCAAAAGCTTCTGTTGTGAATATACTGTATCTCTAAAAGTGTTTGTGAGTGTGAAACAGACCGTGTGTTTTTATCCTGGTTTGTTTCTCACTCGATGCAACTCAGCACAAAGGCTTTAAACATATTGTGACTTCCTGCAGTGAATCTGTGTGTGTGTGTGTGTGTGTGTGAGAGTGTGTGTGTGTGTACTGTATTTAGTTTTGCTAACCGCACATTGCCTTCCTGTCTCCATAGGCTCACCTCGAAACTAGCACACTTCCTCTCTACAGATCAGAAACGCTGCTCTGAGCCTTGCAGTTAGTTTTAATTATTATTTATCAATGATTTATCGTCCGTTTTCAACAAGCTTTATATGTTTACAATATTAGTAATGTGCAAATGAATGATATTTAATGTTTGCCCATGTTATCTGCACCCAGATATGCTTGTTCTTGTGCAGGAAGAGTCTGCTGGATGATCGAAAGCGTTTCATCCGGTGAACTTCAGGCAGATGCAGTGAAAACTACAGATCGTACTTCCATAGTTCTGCATCCCCGCTTATAGACCGCAGGATTGAGCCCAGTGCATTATGGGGGTTAAAGTTTTCCTGACTTTTAGGCAAAAGGGAACACACAGCCCTTTTCTCTAATCGTGTAACAGATTATTTATTTTTAGTCATTGTGTAATTAAGAGCCCAGCAGTGAATGAGCTCCACTGATGTTAGTAAGATGCGGTGTGTGCAAGCTCTGCGTCTCACATTCCTTCACTTCTGAAGATCACAAACGAAGCGCTTCTTGTAATGACTCTCATTTACCTCTAGCTCTAGATCGTGCTCGTCTAGCGTTCACATTGTGCTCTGACTATAGTGTTGTTTCTGTGACAAATCTCTTGTGATGAGTATGTGGCGTTGTATAAAAGCGTCTGCTGAATGAATGTGTGTTAATGATGCATGTGTGCAAACGATGCCATTGAATGTTTATGTAATCAGGCCTTCGGTCGAATTTGTTCTGATTTGGCCATTGAATTTGGAAAGATTGTCTGTGAGGAGACATGAGTGTCACCTACTTCATACAGTGTTTAGATTATGACTCTCAATGGGCTGAACAAGGTATTTTAAAGTTAAATGTTTTGGAATTTCTTGTGAGATTTCCTCTGGCAGATTTCACAGCAGGTTGAAGTTGATCAGTGAGCTCGGTGTGAGCGCTGCTTCATACAGCACTGCTCTACTGACGATTAGCAGATGTGTCAGATACACTGTGACTTTCCGGGGTCTCGAACAATGAGGGTCCTGTGATTCTCTCCATCATTCCTGCTTACACTTCCTGGACGTGAGCCGCCGGCACTGACGTCAATAATACAGTGGACGGAATGTCACGGGTCACCAGCTGCGAGGTCACGGGGTCAGAGGTCAGGACAGGTGTCGTTTACATCAGAGCTGAGTGTGTGTAGAGAAATGACTTACAGAAGATTAGATGAACTGCTTTTACATTAGAGGACTGGCTAACATTATCCTGACATCAGATTCCACACCTGAGGACGATTCACTTCTGAGAAAATCACCGTGAGAGTGTGTGTGTGAGTGATTGTGTGAGTGAGAGTGTGTGTGTGTGTGAGAGAGTGTGTGTGTGTGTGTGTGTGAGTGTTAAATGGTTGTCCAGGTCACTGATATCTGTTCTGTCTCATTCTTAAAATTCTTTCCAGTGGAAACAATTTGGCACTGATGCTCATCTGTCAGCATGTCTGAACACACACTCTCTCTCTCACACACACACACACACACATTAGTGAGCTCATCTCATAGACATGCATTGTTTTTATATCAGGTTAATAATATTTTTGGTCTTAACCTCTTAACGACCTCTGACCCCAAAAGAAACCCTCACAGAAACCTGTGCAAAAACACTACATTCAGACACAAACACGATTGACCCACTCACTAGTCATTGCACATTCGGACCTCACAAGTAAACCTGTACACACACACACATTCACAGTGTATCAGAACTCATACTGTACACATACACAGATGCATTAGTGTGTGAGTGTGTGAGAGAGAGAGAGAGAGTGAGTGTGTGTGTGAGTGTGAGTGTGTGAGTGAGTGAGTGAGTGAGTGTGAGAGAGAGAGTATGTGTGTGAGTGTGTGTGTGTGTTTCCATGATCCGGCTGCTGTAGCATGTGTTTTATCTGATGGTCAGTGTAGTTTATCACTGCAGCGCTCACAAGGTCAACGCGATGATGATTGACATCACATCAGAAAACTATTATCTGCTCACATCACAGACAGTGAACACAATGAAAGTGACTCTGTGTTGTTTGGTCCGTCTCACTAGACACTAATCAGCAGAATGAGGCCTGAAGCTGCAGACGCTCTGAAGCTCTGAGCGTTTAGTTCTGCTGTTATGTCACATGGAGTCAAACACACATCACCACGGGCAGAACATGAGTAAACATCAGAACATCAGCTTCTGCACACCAGATAATGTCAAACGATTCTGTGGTTTGTGACTATTTTCCAATCAGAATTACAATATAAGATCACATAATAAGTCTAGAAGGTGTTGTGTTCGATCACTGAAGAAGCTCAGAGCTCATTGTGACTAAATGTCTTATTTTATTGTGCAGCTGCTGATAGATGTTTCATTGGAATCAGACTCAATTTCTGCCCTCGTTTACCAGCAAACACTAAGTCCACGTGTTTCTCACGTGTTTCTGGTGTGTTTCGCTAGCACTGAAGTGTCTTTCTAAGTCGTGGCTCTGCAGTCTCGTGTGTCACACAGTCTCCTGCCACTGCGCTTCATGTTCAGACCAAAGAAAGAGTAAAAATAATCTGCCGTTTTCTCAGTGTTCATCTGGGAATAGAAACTTTCCTTTACGCACACTGAACACACACACACACACACTCTCTCTCTCTCTCAC